GGACTGAAATTTGTACCTGAGTGGCCAGATCACCGATAGCAAGCCGTGACAAAACAACCTTAGCTCTACTCTTAACGCACTTATCCAATTTGTCATAAATGATATTCCATTCTGCATCTACAGTTGACTACTGATATTGTAAAGGATCTCACAACCTGTAAACTTAAAAGAATTTCGACGATAATTAATCATTCACTCAAGTCAACAAGCAACTTCCTAGGATATAGGGAAATTAAGAAGTAGCAAAAGATCAAGCTTGATCTTCGCATTTTCCTTTTCAGATTTCAATTCCAACTCTATGTTCAACAAAAGTATCTTTGGGTTTACAAACTTTATTGGTTGCCGCTGAACACCATTCACAAGATCAAAGAATCCTTCATTGTACCACCAGGAACCTACAAAAGTAAATCAGCACATGACTGTCACACGGAAGCAAAAAGAAGCGGGATCGAAGCATAATTCAATATTTGATGAAGGGAAATAACATATTGACTAATTTTGAGAGTATGTGGAAAATGATATACCTGTAATTGTTGGTCGTACTGGGCAAGTTCTGAAATACTGTAATAAAATGCATGAATCACAATGTGAAAGTCTTCAATGTAGGTAATTGGTACTTAACTAATGTCTAACAATATTGTTTTGGTACTTTCAACTATATGTTATTTTCTGGGTTTCACTCCGTCGGTTGTTTTATTATGCAAGCTGTTTTCATCTTTTATGCTAGTTGCATTTGACACACATAATGATCGTGCCAAGAGTCGAGTGTTTTTCTTGATATAATGCACGTACGTCATCTCCTCTACAACTAACATCATTGTTGACATCTAGTTAAAGTATCAATTACCTACCCTAATATAAATCCTCATTTAAAAATATGGATCTCACTGATCCCTGTAAACTGAACAAAACAAATATACATGACACTTTCTCTCCATCTTCTCGTCGTCTTATTATCACTCGTGGTCATCGCCAGAAACACGTCCGCCACCATTCATCTCTACCCATCCACTGCCACTCCATTTTCCCTCCATACGACGACAAAAAAGACGAATCCATCCGAGAGCCAATGTTTGCTGCACACGACTTACCTCTCTTCCTTGTGAATGTCTATCGGGAATCCCCTCCTCACTCCTGGTGTCCATGGCCAGAAGGTGTGAGGAGGGGAGTTCCCCGATAGAGACATTCACAAGGAAGAGAGGTAAGCCGTGTGCAGCAAACATGAGCTCTCGGATGGGTTCGTCCTTACTGTAGTCGTATGGAGGGAAAATAGAGTGGCAGTGAATGAGGCGTAGATAAATGGTGGCGGACGTGTTTCCGGCGATGGCCACGAGTGATAACAAAACGACGAGGGGATAGAAAGAAAGTGACATGCATATTTGTTATGTTCGGTTCACAATATTTTGAGAGAAAGTGTCGTGTGTATTGTTGACAGTATTTTGTGAACGGATCAGTGAGATGCATGCTTTTAAATGGGGATTTATATTAGGGTAGATAATTGGTACTTTAATTAAATGTCAACAATATTGTTAGTTGTAGAGGAGATGACGTACCTGCATTACATCAAGAAAATCACTCGACTCTTGGTACGATCATTATGTGTACCAAATGCAACTAGCATAAAAGATAAAAGCAGATTACATAATTTAACAACCGATTGAGTGAAACCCGGAAAATAACATATGATTGAAAGTACCTCAACAAATATTGTTAGACATCTAGTGAAGTACCATCAATTCACTCAAAACGTTTTGTTGCATTCTATCTTGGCCGTGATTCCTCAAACAGTACGACTGAACTCATCCTCCCACTAATCCACCGTGATGCAGTTTACGCCCATTTCCAGATATCATCACCTGAAAATTGAATAGGTTAGGTACCTGAGAATTCAATCGGAGGAGGAAAATGTTCAGATCTCAAGAAGTAAAACCGACAAAGAAGCTATTCACAAACCTTAATTTACACCACGACCTCCACCCGTCAGTTGTCGGAACCCAATCTATACAACACCTATCAACTACTTAACCATGAGCGATCTATCCGACATAGGTGAA